TATGTATGAATGGGTGAATGTAATATTATAAATAAATGAATGTAGTGTAATAAATAGATAGATAAATAAATAAATAGATAAGTACACTACAGAAGCATAGATTTAAGAATAACATTTCTAATTTATTTTATCTGTAGACAATTTTAATACGAAAACAACATTATGCTCTTGAGTACATCCACGCGTAATTTACAATAATAAAAATGTAGTAAGTAATCGTAGCATTGTGGTATTCTACAAAATTTTCTTTGCCGAATTTCACTAAAGTCCGTTTATCTGTTTTAGAGATACGTTATTCACATCTCTTTATCTAAAGTTTCGAATTCATAACATTAATACGTTTTGATATCTGTCATATCTATACTTAGTGCCTGTCCCACCACTGGCTGATAGAGGCTCAGATAGCTTAAAAATAACGTCACTCTCAGATAAGGAACAAAATCCGATATTTCCATCACATGTTTTACACGCTGGATTGGTATCGGACAAATGGGTTGGAAAGCCCTTTAGTATTATAAAGAGGAAAGGATTTTATTTTGTATTTTTGTATGTGTTTAAATAACTCAATAACTGAATGGCCGATTTCGAAAATTCTTTTACCATTAAAAGCTACATTATCACTGAGTACTATGTGCAATATTTTTTATAATTCATTAATTTCACGCGGACTAAGTCGCGAGCAGCTAGTTGGATATAAATTTGCATTTCTTAAACACCTATTAACATGAATTAAAAAAGAAAGAAAAACAAATGCACAATATTTTCCTTTATTTACATGTAAACACAAATTAAATATATACGGGAAAGCACTGCACTTTTAGGTATACAAGCTTAATAACGGTGTTAACTTTCAGTCGTCGCAGGGATTTAGCATAATCTAACCCGGAGTCAAAGGAGTTTAAATTCTCGCAAGCCTGCTAAGTTTTTACAGTGAACACTTTCATTTTAAAACTTTAAGAGGCTTTATGAGGATGTTAGGTCAAGTGGCTACGTGTGAGGCTTCCTTCGTTAAGCCAGTTACATTAATAACGAGTAAAGTAAAATCTTAAGCTTAAAAACTTAAATGTATCACAGAATTTAGATAAAGTTTCACTAATAAGAAAAAAATGGATAAAAACAAAATACAACAGATTATTTTGTGATAAGGAATTATCAGAAATGGCATAGGTTATGATGAATACTGTTCTATCATCTCCCCTGCCTTATCCTACTCCCGTGGGGTCGGCGCACCGGGTTTTAGTCCTCCAAATAACTCTATCATCCGGCACCTCAGTGATCACTCTCTTCTTGATCATGTCACCTTTCACGCAATCCATCCTTTATTAAGATTACTATTTATTGAGACAAAATTATGTACACAATTCACAATTCATGTAACAAGAAGGATGTTAGTTATAAATGTGGAGGTACTTCGGTAGAGGTAGACATAGAAAGAGATGGATGGATTGCGTGAAAGGTGACATGATCAAGAAGGGAGTGATGACTGAGATGACGGATGATAGAGTGCTTTGGTGGACGAAAACCCGGTGCGCCGACCCTACGGGAGTAGGATAAGGCAGGGGAGATGATGATGAATTCTGATATCTGATCTAACAATATGTATAGAGATTGTCTGCTTACAATATCGATATTTACTATTTCAGTTTGCCTATCCGATAATAATCTGTCTATGCATGTGTTTGCAGAAATGTAGTTTTACTTATACAATGTTAGTTCCATTCGTTATACAGCCTCAACATCTCGTCTGATTTAACTATTCGATTCGCATTGTTATGCAATATAATGAGTCCCTTTAGACAAAGTAACATTTGATTATAGCAATCGCTGATCGAATAGTCAAAAATGTATGGAAATGATAGACATTCGATAAATCACGTGCTTGTCACGTATTCATACGTTTTGACACATTTTGTCGATTCTACTAACGATATAGCTCATCAAAAGTTTTAGTCTAAGGAGGCTGGCTGTTTTTTAAATTATATGTATCTACCTGATCCCGTGCGGCTTTATCCGCATGAAATTATGAAAATTTTATTTTATTGTTTGCATTTGTCAAAAATATTAATTGCAAATGTCAAAATGACATGACATAACAAACGTTGGCAATCTTGCTTCCTCGATGTTGGTAGCAACTTATGGTTTCTTTCCCACATTAGGGTTTTTATCCAAAATATTTACCCCTAAATTTAATGGCGTGAAAATATATAGCCTAAAGCTTGACGTAAGTGTAGAGCTTTTTATTAAAAAAAGAATTATTCAAAAATATACTGTAATTGCCGACATTTTAGGCAACAAAGAAGTGTGTGTATACGCTTTATTATAATAGTATAGATTGTTGGTTTAAAAGTTTTGGCAATCGCTGTAACAGTGAGCAACTAACGTCTTTATATGAGCCAAAGTCTGCAGACTAATTGAGCCTAAATCTATTTAACAGAGATAAACACATTACGTAATAAATGTTTGTTCCAATGAAGCAAACATTGGCAACGTTCTAATTTGAGCTGAGCATTATAGACTTTACTGTTTTAGTCGATGCATTAATATCGGTAAACATTGTAAAAACAACAAAATTGAGACGTTTATCAGTATTTAAATGACTTGCTTTCGCCCGCGATTCCGTCCGCGTGGAATGAAAAACATTAAAAAAAACAAAAGTGTGTAGCCAGTGTAGTGTGTGTCCTTCCAGACTATTCTCTACGTCTATGCCAAGTTTCATCGAGATCAGTTCAGCCGCTTAGGCTACAAACTCTGAGAAACATCTATCCATCTAAACTTTTGCATTTATAGAGGAAGAAGAAGAAAGAAGTATAATTGAACAAAACTAGTTAGAGTGTTTCTTTTTCTTTACTGTCTACGTTGGATTTTTTTATGCATATCCTATTGCATCGATATTAATGCCAGTAAATTATACGCTTTGTAACATCCTGTACACTTCCTGGATTTATATTTTCACTTATTATGATCAAATAATTGTAATTTAAGACTAATTCTTAGATTTTCTTACCACGATTGAATTGTTTTAGGTCCCGATGATCGTTATCGTGGTAAGAAACCCGTATCTTATGAACATTATATTTGTAAAAACCACGACAGTTTCAAGTTATAATTCTTAGTAATTAAAATCCCGTTATTTCAAAAATTTGAAACCGTAAATCCTGAACAGTTGAGTCTAAAGGTAGACTTGACGGTTTTCCACTGTCTAATCACATACGATTACGAATAAAAGCAATACAATGGGGAATTTTCCAGACAAATATCTGGATATGAACTATGCTAATCAACTCCAATCGAAAGCAACGCACATCTTCAATCCTGTGTCGTAGATCAACATACCTTGGCTCTCATTAAAAAATCCAAGCACCATAATGACAATCACGACGATGCCAATTTTGAGTCGATAACCCAAAAAGTAGGTCGTCGGCATTTCTAGTTTCCACATTACTTGTTCCAGCACCACTTATCCCCGCCTCATCCATTCGTTATACGCTTTAATGTCTATCTTCGACTGCGTATGATGCATTTGGTACATCATCTGAAACAAAGAATTAATCCATAAAAATTTTTATTCCATTAAAAAATGTATTCCATTAAAATACATGTTCATTAAACGTGCTTAACATCATTTTTCGTCGAATTATCTACTTGTGATAGACTAGTTTTCGCTCGCGACTCAGTCCGCGTGGTATTAAATAACTAAAGTAGCCTGTGTGTCTCATTATGCTCATTCATACCAAATTTCATCCAGGTCCGTTTAGAAGTTTGAGTTAAAAACTCTAACAAATATCCATCTATCCATCTAAACTTTCGCATTTATAATGTTATTAAGAAGTAAGATTAAGTGACCTTAACACGTAATTTGATTAAACTATCGTGTTCTGTTTAGTCTCGCTTTGATTCCTATGAGCTTAACATACATACGAGTATATGGAGGAGCACACTACACGATTTTTAGTTGTACAACTAAACAGTTGAATTGGCTGTAAAACAATCGACAATCGCTGTGTTGTGCGATACTTTAGTCAAAGGTAAACCCGCTCTTAGTCTACAGTAGTACATAGTCAGGCCTAAATGGTCAAAATTTTTATAAATAACTAGCTTTTTCCCGCGACTCTGCCCGCGTGGAATTTAAAAATAATAAGTTCCCTTTCTAATGGTGAAAGACTTTTTAAAAACGGCCCATTAGTTTTTAGCTTGTTCATTACAATCAAACAAACAATTTTTTCCTCTTATATTAGTATAGAAAAAGTAAATCAAATCACATCACGTCAACGAATAAATACAGAAGATTCCATACATTGAATAGCGAGGTCGTTGAATATCGTGACATTCTCTAGAGTGAAGCTAAATATGAAAAATGACTAAGATTGAAAATTTTCGTTACACGGCCGTGCCATACATCAATCCCTGTTTTTTATTTGCCCAACCAACCGTGACCGCAACAAAAGGGAATTCCCCTCGGAAGACATTAAAACTTGCACGCCCCGTCCGCTCTGATTCTAAAAGACGCTTTAATGGCCCCGAGTAACTTGGACAACTTTCTTTGTAAGCGGTAAACTCGCTAATTGTAAAGTTTTTTGCGCATAAGCCCCCGAAGAATGAAAATTAAAGAATCTGGAAAATTTAAAATGTGCATCGTAAAATAGTTGCAGTTTCAATTAATTTCTTGACAAAATACTACCCTTCACCCGCGACTCCGTCCGCGTGAAACTAAAATAGAACAAAACAAAGCTTATGTGTTCTCCTAGACTGCTGTACATCTATGATCTATGTCAAATTTTATTGATATCCGTTCGGCCATTTAGGCGGGAAAATCTAACAAACAACAATCCACCCATCCATCTACAAGCGCCAATAGCCTAATGGTTTGGGGTACGGACTACCGATCTTAAGGTCGAGGGTTCGAATCCCGCCATTCGACTATTATCGTAAACCATATCTTAGTGCAAACCTAGAGCTTAGTTGGATTGGTTAAAAGAAATATTAGTAAATTAACAAATACCTGCTAATATTTTTAGCAAAATAACAAAAGAATATCTATCTAAACTTTCGCATTTATAGTAAGATGTTGTAAAGACGCGTTGTTTCAAAAAAGGTTTCTTTAAAACGCGTTGCGAAATATTCTAAGCTAAAATATACCACGTTTCATGTTATCTTTCCACACGTATACTACCAATTTCTAAGTTTTGTATTTTTATCAACGATAAAAGGAAACTTATATATTCCTCAATTAATCTCAGGCAAGATATTCAATCTGTGTTATTATTAAAACTAAGTTCAACACCTTTTTGTTTTTGAATAAAGAGATCCGGATTAGGCTAAGAGCCGCTTTCTTAAATAAATTCTTCCACTTCTCGACAATGAGGTAACCATGGCACACAAATAAAAATGCGTAAAACGGAAAAAACATACAAAACGACCACCCAAGCAAGCTTGTTTATCACTTTTAATTTTTATAAGACAGGGGAAGCCCGTGTTTGACAGGTCCTGTCTCTTAAAAGTCAAAGTTTTATGTAAAGTCTTCACATTTACTTATCGATAACATTTTCCTTTCTCGTAACAAGTAAGCAAGCACGAAGTATATTGAAGTGGACTTTACTTAAGCCTTTCGTTGGGAATTTATTCATGATGAGAAAAAACAAAAGTCGGGTAATTTTTTTACGTCTACTGATGGACAGGGGATAAAAAAATGTTTGTGTAACGTAATGTATCCTTTGATGTGACTCGATTTTGATGTTAGCAATCCCTGGGTATGCATAATTCATATGAGAAATTATGCAATTTCTCCCACAGAGGGAGCTGTTAAGCTGAGTCTGATGTGCCCATCATAAAACATGTTTAAACATTCGTATTTTTTATTGCTAACACTAAAGAATCATTTGCTTTAAACATATTTAAGAGTAATAACAGTCTGACAGTTTTAAATTGTAATGATATTAAAATTGTGAAGTCTTGAATATCGTTTGAGATAATTCGAATGTTCTAGATGATTCGAATTTTTTTGCAGCAAAGGCTTGTTTTTAACAATTCTTTTAACTAATTTTATCTACACTAGCTTTCACCCGCGACTCCTTCCGCGTGGAATTAAAAAGAAGTAACCTTTGTAGTCTTCCAGACTACCCTCAACATCTATGCCAAATTTAATCGAAATCCGTTTACCCGTTTAGACTACAAACTCTAACAAACATCCATCCATCTAATCTTTCGCATCTATAATATTAGTAAGATTTAACCGATCTACGGGTAATGTAGGTTAATAGAGACTTCAGAAACTTATCTCTTTGAAGTTCTCTAGTCTTAAATGTTATCCAAATTAAGCTAGTTAACAAATGCGTTAAAAGAATCAGAAACACGAGGCCTTATTTTCGGTAAAACTCGATCCATCACATACTAGCGCCGTCGTCATCTGACGAGAGAAAAATTAAGCTGAGAAATCGTTTTTTAAACGTGCCCAGACCCCATCAATCAAATGTTTAGTAATTTTTCAATGTCTGCTTAAAATTGAAGTGACTTGTGTTCTTCAGTTTGTGGCGTTATGCAAATTGCTATTGTTTATTATGTTAACCGTCTTCGGCATTATATTTTTTATAGTAAAATTACTATCTTGATAATATTACCTTTTACAGTTTGAAAATAACATTATACTACTATCGGTTATTGCGACTTCGATCGCGTGAAATTAAAAAATAATAAAAAATATAGCCATGTTACTCTGCACAAACACAGATTTTCTTTATAAACCACGTAAATATACATTAGGTTCACGTAAAATGATATTTTATACGACACTAGCTTTTGCCCGCGACTCCGTCCGCGTGAAATTTTAAAATAATGAAAAAATTTAGCCTATGTTACACACAGATAAATTACCTTTCTAACGGTGAAAGAATTTTTAAAATCGGCCCAGTAGTTTTTGAGCCTATTCATTACAAAAAAAAAAAAATATCAATTGTTCAAAATAGGAAGATGATTTATAAAGATTGTCAAATATCAAAACGTATTAATTCTGTACCTTTTTAAATGGATAAATTACATCATTAGAACACGAAACAAACGGAGTAACATTTTAATATAAATGTAAATAAAATATAAATGATTCGAATTCGACAAAAGTAATTTAGGAATTTGCTTCAATTTATTAGACGGGACAAATGAAACACCAGTCCCCGTCATTTACTTTGCTGATTAACCCATTACGTTTATAATTCAACTCCCTCGGAAAGGGCAGTTATTAAACAAAATTTATACAGAACGAGTACTTACTTTAACATTGTAAATTGGTAGAAAGTATTTTTTTTATAATAGTAAAGAAGTATAGATAAGTAATGCATTGGAACAATAAATTTGCAACAATGTTTATTTGATAGCGATCTTGAAAGCGAATTCGAGTTGCATTCGGACATTGTTTCTGTAACTAGTTCGATAGTGATATTGTATTACATTTATATTTAAAAATATTCGTTGTTTTTAACAGTGCAATTCCACTGCTATTTTAATTGTTTATAACTAACAGACGAGGTACAGTAATATTTATACGTAAGGGTTTTTACTTTGGCTATGAAATCAAACGTATGACAACGTTTATGTACTGAATCTACTTTGTCTGACACCGGTATATCTTTTTAAAAGATAAAAATTTCCTCTCCTCCTAATTTTAACATTAAAAATAATGGAGGTCTAAGGATTTCATGTAATTATTTCGTAACCTTTTAGTGTATTGCTTTTTTTTAGAACATTTTGTTCTTATGTTTTTACTGCATATTTTTGAGTAACTTCTTCTTTAATAAAAATGGCCTATACTTACGACACGCTTAGTAAATAAATTTGAAAAAAACCATCACGTGGGAAAGAGACCATAAACTACAAGCTGCCAACATCAAGGGAGCTAAATTGCCATCGTACGGCAATTGGTATCCTTCAAAGGCCTTCGTTGTTATCTGTTCATTTGAATGTTGACATTTGCAATTGACAATTAGATAAATTTAAAAAATAAAATAAAGCCTTTATAATTTCATGCGGATGAAGCCGCACGGGAATAGCTCGTGTTTCATGATTTTAAAACGAAACAAATATAAAATGTAGAAGCGCAGCTTCCGTAGCGCAGAATATACTAAAACTTTAAAAGCTGATTTGCTAAGTGCTTTTCGATAAGCTCTCAGTTTACGATAGTTAAGTTAGTAAATTGTTAAATGCATAAATGTTTTAATTACGTTTCGTTCTATTTTTATAGAAAATATAAATAAAATTATTGACTTCGTTATTTTTTAAATCTGGCTCGTGCGATAGACAACTTTGTATTATTCCATCAAACAGAGACTTTGAAAATGTAATAAATAATTTATACTATCGGTTTAAAATTAACAACGAGTTTAAATTCACGTCCTATTACAATAAGTGATTCATGAATTATTGTAGAAGTCATAATAAAATAGTGTATTTAAAATTTAAATCATAGTAGAAGTTAACGGTTTTTAAAAAAAAAAACTATAGCGAAAACGACCTACAAAGGATATTGGAATAAGAATATTGCAAGCA